TTTTTTCTTTTTACATCTTTCTCCTCGTTTTCAAGGCCCCCCACATGCGTCGATTTCTAGGTTTCGTGATACGTGTTGCAATGTATGTATGTATGCTCGACATCGGTGAATCGGCAGGCAGACTGACTTCAATGCAGGTTTCGTGGAACCTACGAGTCGACGTTTCAACGTGTGTGAAAGCCTTAACGTAACGGCTTCGTGAAATCTAAAAATCGATTTATTTATATATTATATGCGTGCAATCGTTCGTAGGATAATTAATAATTACGTTATATTCGTTGATAAAAATTACGAATTTTTACACATTTTTCGCATTCCTCACGTATAGACAATTTAGAGGTGGCTAACTGGCGAGCCTTGCCCCTACTTTCTTGATCGCTTCCCCCACCACGTTGAAATTTCCTCGACGTGCACGCGAGGCCCCACTCTCTGTCTCTCTCAGTCTGATTGATTTCCCTACCAAGCAAGGGGAGAGATAACGCTAGCGATGAGAAAAGTAGGGGCAAGGGCCGCCAATTAGCCGACTCTGATTTACAATAGAGAATTTACAACCGAGTTCCCCATAAATCTCAGTTAACACGTGGAGCGTGCAATGTACCGTTCAAATCATTTGGAGTTTTCATCGTAAAACGAAGAATTTTTAAAAAATTCGTTGACACCTTAATAATAACACGTATATCGTAAAATCATTTTTCCACGTCTCACGAAAAAACAATGGTGCAAAATGGTCAGTTTTTCTCACGACCTCGGCCGATAACCGCTGGCGGAAAGAAGTCACGCGGCCGACGTTGGTGTTAACGTCGTTAACATCGCGTTTGCTTTGAATTTCCAGGAACAACGGCGAGCTTGTCACCGAGACGAAACACTCGCTTTCGACGCCCTCCGAAGCAGCCGGTCGTTGCGCCAACGATTACAGTTAACTTCGCTTTTGCTAACGACAAACCGCGCGATAACGCTTTGCGCGCGCACCAACTAGACTTTGACTAAATTACGTACAGGGTGGAAAGAAATGTTTGACTATCAGGCGATGAATTCTACGCTAACGATTCGATATGCGGAGAAGCGTGCAAGGAACCTACCCTTAGTAGATTGATCTTAACCTCGAGTTTCAAGCCAAAAAAAAATTTTTCAAGAGGATCAAACTTGTTCAAGAAATTATACGTAACTTGCACACCTGAAATGATCTTTAAATTATGCATCTAATGAAAAATTGTATAATTAATTACTTGAGACCTAACCTAAACCTAATCGGCGAGAAAGTTTGACAAAATCAATTTTCTGGTAGGTACAGGTACATGTTAAATCTCTTCGATATTGTTACGTTGCAAGGGTACAATTCAAAAATTATGTATATTAACAATTTTGTACATTAATTTACACGTTCAGAATCAGTAAAGTCGCTGTCAAAACCCACGCGTCCGCAGTGTTAAATGATTAAGAAACTTTTTTGCAATTTTTCAAGAGAATTACATGATTCCTTGGAAAAGTTTTATCTTCGTGACGAGTAGAATACAATGCAAAAAAAAAAAGAAATTTTTGACTTTGAAATTCAAGATCAAGATCAATTTTGCGACAGGTTCTTTACATGTATTTCCTACATCAGAAGATGTAGAATTCATCCATGAAAGTCAGAAAACTTTTCTTTCCACCTTGTAACCGACTGACTTTCTTTACACATGGTTGGGTTGCTTGAACAAAAATTTTTGTCGAGCTTCAAACTCAAGGTGTTCTTCCATAAAACATCGATTGACATGTAAGTTATATAACTCGTGACAGACAAGATTAACCAAACATTTCTTTCCACCCGGTGCATCTGCACATACATACTTTTCGTTTCGTTGCACGCACCGATTCGTCGCGTTTCGACCGACCAAGAATCGGCAACGCGCGTGCAAACTGATCGACCGCGAGAGTTCCTTCACGAATCCCAGAATCGCAGCGAAGCTATTCTAACGTCTATACTTGTTGTAATAGTTTCTTACTGCGCGCGAATTACAAATAGACCGTAGTTTCTTTCTTCATCATCTACGATCTGGCTCTAACCGATCAATTACATCGATGTAGCAGGATTTCGAGTAAAATCAAATTTTGGCCGTGTACCAAAGACTTTTATCGTCTCGTTTGCGATACAGAATGTCGCGTCGACTGTTTTTTTTTTCCTTTTTCTTTTCTTTTTCTTGGCTGACTGCTGTCTTCGTCGTAACGATCGTTATGTCGCGCGTTCAATTACCCTCGATTTTATCCATCCGTTGTTTTCTAGCATCACTACTATTATTATTACTATTACTATTACTATTACTACCATCGCGGCAATTATCATTGCTGTCGTTTTATTATTATCGTCATCATCGTCATCGTCATCGTTTTATTTTTATGGCTATGTTATATAAAAAGTGTGCCTTGGAAATATCGTTGCGATACGAATCGTATCTTCCTCGAGAGAACCCGACGTGCGTCTCAGCTTGGTGCGTGTTTAATATCAACATGTTCGTGTCATTCAATTCTTGTCAATTTATCGCGTTCGTTTTCTTTCTCCTCTCCGTTTTCGTCTCGACTCGTCTCTCTTCGAAAATGCGTACACGTCGTCGTTGTCAGCGACGGATTTTGGCTGCGGTGCATTCGTAAAAGATTGTTAGCAAGATTGACGCGGGATACGTACACGTATGTGTCCACAAAAGTATTTAAAACTATGTACTTACAATGGAAATGGACACGAGAATCGCAGGATAATGGATATAATTTAAATTTCTATATGTACAGGGTGGAAAGAAAAGTTTGTCCGTGGCTATCATAGATGAATTCTACACCTTCGATCTTGACCTTGCATTTCAAGGTTAAAGAAATTTTTTTTTCCATTATATTCTACTCTTCACGAAGGTAAAACTTTCAAGGAACCATAGGTCACAATCTAATAGTTCTCGTCAAAAAAATCTTCTTAGTTATTTAACACTGCGTGCGTGCTAACAGCGACTTTATGGTTCTGAACGCCTGGATGTCTGTGTCGAAATTCAATTCTGTGGCAGGTTCAAATTAGTACGCACAATATATACATACCCCGATGTAGAAATTTATAAAAATATCTAGTCCTGGGGAGATTGTGTGAAGAGATTTCCATTGCAAGTGCATCATGTTTTAAATACTTTCAAATACTGGGCCTTTACAGTGTGTTTAACTGTTGGACTAGATACTTTAGCTCGGGAGTGGCCAAACTTTTGTATTGTTCTACGTGCCAACAAGAATGTGTTTATAAATATTAGGACATTAGAAGAAAACAAAATAACTTACTCTAATATAAATAATAATGATAATAATACTTACTCTAAATAACTCGCTCTATGCGCCAGCAGAAATCACGAAATGCGCCACGGTTGGCCACCCCTGCTCTATCTAGCTATTAAATTTGATCGAGAAATCACTGTACAGAGACAAAGTAACGAGCGAGAACCGATATTTTCAACGATCGATTGCGTATCGTTGTTACACGCATATTTCCTCCGGAAACTCCCTCGGAAACGTCTCGAGCACTCGCTGTGAATCTCTGACTGATTAACCACCGGCTTGTTATGTATGCGTTTTCTATTCGTATTTTAAAATAAATCATGCTACTCGAACGAGCGTCGTTTGAACGCCGCCTGCCCGTCCACTGTTAACCTCTTGCGCTGGCAACTGTGGTTTTACGGACCATAACGAGTGACCAAACTGTATACAATAATTCGTCGTTTTCTTTTTGAACTACCGTCGGTATGATATCACTGGATAGAAATGATTAAAAAGTAATAAATTTATTATTTGCTTTGCCTGGGTTATATTCAAATATACTTAAAACTGAGAAAATATAGCAATTTTCGGACAAAAAGTTTTCAACGTGCATTTCAACGTACGTCATTCCAGCGTAAGAGGTTAGGTGGCTCCTTTGGCTTCCCTCTGCGTCGAAACTTGACTGTTTGAATCGTAAGAATTACGTGTGACTTCAGGACTTTAGAGATGCTTAAGCAGGACATCGCCAACGAAAAAGGTTGGGAAACACTGTTGTACGAATTCAGGCTTTGCCGTTTGTTTTCTCTCGTCGCGTCATTCCACCGCAAGAGATTAAACACCGGACTGTGTGCTCTCACGTTGTTCGTTTGTTCGCCTCTCTCGTACGTGGTATTTTGCTCCGTTGCCGCCAATCTTCCACGAGGAAAGAAAAAAAAATCGCGAAAAAATTCCAGTAGCGTCGATCTAGCGAGCGGCCATGAATCCCGTGAAACTGCGATTTTACACCGAGAGGTACGAAAAAGAGAAGAGGCACTTTCGTCTCCGGGAGGAGTTCGTGGCGATTGCGCGCACGAAACCTCTAACCGGCAAGTTCTACGCGGGGCACGACGCGATCCCGCCGTCGGATATTCGACAGGAGTACGTCGATTTGATCTCGAAACGGCTAATCCTCACGCCGAAGGACGTTTACGCGTTCAAGCCCCCGACGGTGAATATGGAGTACGCGATACATATACATATATGCATACGTATGTAAAAAATACTACTCGACGATAACTGAAAATACGATATAACTTTCTGAAATTAATCATCTCGATTCACTTCAGTTAATAATCTCGAATCAAGTATTGTATTAGCTGCTTTTTGTGCGCGTATTGTTATAATTTACTACGTAGAAAGGGAAAATGGAGTGATGGCTGTGTATTTTCTGCCCGCGCAAATTGAAACCACGCATAAAAATACGGGTGTACACACGTATGAAACACGAACACTTTGCACGCGATTTCAATTTCAATTTCTCCACGAGTGTGCATGTATACGTATGTACACACATGTGACAGGTACGGTTGGTTTTCGGAACCCCTAATACTACCTCGGACGAACGATCCGAGGTTACAGTTCGCCCGGAAACAGACGGATTTCATCGCTAACGAGCTTCAAATACGGCACGTTCAGAGAAGCTTGCCGGCCGAAAAGTTTGTAGGAACGCCTTTCAAGGTTTAAAACGAGTCTGTGCAGTCGCGATCGTCGATGTGTGCCAATTCCGTATCCTGGCAACGAGCGAGCAACAACACTGATCCGAGCAGCACACCGACATGGTACACGTTTCACGCACCGTACCGCAGGCCGCTTCCCGAGGATAGAAAAAAACACCCAGCACCGAACATTGTGATCGGTCCTCCCTTCACGAATTTCCCCAAGTCCGTCGTCCGAGACGAGAATGATCTCGAGATAATAAGAGCAAAAGTAATCGCACTGGCGACCAACCATCATGGCGGGAAAGGGCTTCTGCGT